TCAGGGCTCTGACTGCCAGGGCGTGAGCAGGCAGAGCCTCAGTTCTAAGCAATGGCTAGTGAGAGCAGCAGTCAGCACCGGACACTTTCTCAGGTCTGGTGCTTTGGGTGTTAGAACCCTTACTGGTGAGCGTTTTTCACTCTTGTTCTGCCATGTCAAGACCCTCAGCCTTTAGAGACTCTTAAGCATGCCAAAGAGAGCAGTGCCTGCAGGCTTGTCCACCATCTTGCCTTTATGCCTTCTCTGTACTTCTGCCACCCTTCATCATGTACTGCCGTTTCTTCTGCCACTTCCGTTCCTGCTGCTGTCAGGACTTTTCACTGTCTTCTTGGTTGTGCTGCTGTTGTGGCAGCCACTCCACCTCCACTGCTAGTTACTTTTCGTGCTACCATGTCATCCCATTCTACTTCAGATTCATCAGAAGAGGGAGAAAACAGGAAACAGGACAGGAGCCTCCTACAGAGGGCCTCTGAAAGACTACACAGCAGTGTATCAAAGCAAATGCTGAGACTATTCATAGCCAAACTTCGGGCAGAGTGCAGGGAATCTTATAAAGAAGGGGGAGATAGACCTGGAGGGGATAGGAGCTCCACAGGGAGAGCAACAGAACCAACAAATCTGGGCCCAGGGTTTTTTTTCTGGTACTGATACTCCAACCAAGGACCATGCATGGAGATAACCTAGAACCTCTAGAACCCCTGCACAGATATAGCACATGGCAGCTCAGTCTCCCAAGTGGGTTTCCTAGTAAGGGGAACAGGGACTGTCTCTGACATGAACTCAGTGGCTGGCTCTTTGATCACCTCCACCTGAGGGGGGAGCAGCCTGACCAGGCCACAAAGGAAGACAGTGCAATCAGTCCTGATGAGACCTGATAGGTTAGGGTCAGAGGGAAGGGGAAGAGGGCCTCCCCAATCAGTGGACTTGGGGAGGGGCATGGGAGGAGATGAGGGAGGGAAGGCAGGATTGGGAGGGGGCTACAGCTGGGATACAAAGTGAATAAACTGTAATTAATATAAAAATAAAATGAAAAAAAGAAAGAAAAAGGATTCATTGGTAGATAAGAAAAATGTATTGGGCCTAGTAATACAACACTTGTAGCATAGGAGGATGCTAAACAGTGAGCTGAACAGCTTGGTTAAACAGCCAAGAGGAGGGTGTGGCATACAAATGGAGGATGGGATGTATGCCAGTCATTACACCAGCTTCCATTTTCACCAGTAGCTACCTTTTGCACAGTTAGTGAGGAGGTGCTTCTCCTCCATCTTGAGTGAGAGGAGCTACAGGGTCATCTAAGTTTAGCAAGGTTTGTTATCCTGGCACAAAGCTCTCCAGGGCCAGCATAAGTTGGCTGAAGTGGTTGAGACTTGAGTAAAGTCTCCTGGAGCAGGAGTTCTGGCGTCAGATGTATTGATAGTTGCAGCTGGAGCATTAATTGTAAAGTATTCAAAGCAGCCAAGCTACCATGAGGGCAGTCTGGCCGTTTGCCAGAGAAGGAATGTCTGGCATAAGAGAAGGCTGTGTACTGCTATTCAGGGGCTTGAACAGATGCTCCGGGTTTTAACTCAATGACAGAAAAAACCTTATGTGGTATTTACAATGAAGACTCAAAGAAAGCTCACCAGAAAGCTGTTTTCAGCAGTGTTTAACAGTGCTTTTGCTTACTTAGCCCCTCCTCCAGTGCTCTAGGAGTTGTTGGATGCAGCTCATCCATCTCATCTCTGACACCAGTAAATCTCTTTAGCCTCTCACACGCTTACATTCCCTGCCTCCCAGATGGGAGACGACCTCCTCTGACTCCCTGTTTTCCTCAGTTCAGGGGAGAAAGGCATGCTCCATCCTGCCAATTCTTTTACTAGTCTTAGGCTTTCTTCTAGTTGATAAGTTAGATGACCAGAATTGCTCGTTGGCTCAGTCAAGGTTATATTTACGCCCAGCCCTACCTCGCAGTGGCTCACTGAATTTCCCACAAATTAGTTACTTTATGATTGTCAGATTTCTGACATCTTGGTTCTCCTTTCTTACTTTCTTGCATCATGCCTGGACCCACCACTCCTGTTAATATTTGCAATAGCTATACTCACCTACTGGAGGAGGCTTTCTAATTTTCAGCTCTTTTTACCTAATTTAAATGAGGACCAAAGTATGAAGTGATACAAGAACCACTGTTTTGGGCAGCAGCTAGATTCACTGGTCCCTTTGCTTTCGTTACTGGAACGTTGGCATTATTTCTTCCAGCCCCAGTGGTGACAACAGCCTGCACTAGTGTAAAAGCTGACGCTCCTGAGACAGTGCCTGCATTTGAATTGTGACTGCGTGTGACTTAAATCCAGTTAATTTCTGAAATTTTTCTGCAGCCATAAATTGTTGAAGACCCTTATAATGATTTAAGAAAATGTCCTGACATTGGAGGTTTTTTTTTTACTAAATAATAACTTACTTGAATATAAAAGTAGTTTGGCCTCTTCAAATTGCAGGTACGCTAATGATTTTCATGGTGATTCTAGTTTTGTATGTCTTAACTGTTGTAAACATGAATGTGGAATTTGTCTCAGAATTCTCTTGGTCTGAGGAGCTGCTGGTGGGAAAGCCCATGTGTCAATCAGTCTTTCTTTCTTTCTTAGATTTATTTATTTATGTATATTAGTGCTCCATCTGCATTACACCCAAATGCCAGAAGAGGACATCAGATCCCATTATAGATGGTCATGGGCCACCATATGGTTGCTGGGAATTGAACTCAGGACCTCTGGAACAGCAGCCAATGCCCTTAACTATTGACCCATCTCTCCAGCTCAGTATTTCTTAATCATGCCATATGGATGATGATTGATGATATAAGCTAGAGTTTCACTTATGGTTTGAAGCCATTTGTTCTAAAAACAAGAAGTTAATGCGCATCATGTCAGGAGCTTGTTGGACTGTGTAGACTCTAGATAAGTTGGCAGAGTTTTGTTGTTGTTGCTACTGGATGCAGCTAAATTAAGACTCAGCACTGGAGTTCTCAGATGTTGCTGGAGCCGTGAGTTAGGACAATGCCATTTCGAAGTGGTGAGCGGCAGCATCTTAGCTTCCAGTTTACAAAATGTTTGACGTGTAGGGGGACCATGGATTGAATCTCGGAAGTCTGCTGAGAGCCCTGTGCTAAAAGGCTATTCTCCAGCAGGTGACATTGTAGGAGGAGAGGCGGGTGGTGTTGAGCGTAGTGGGCTCATGCCAGCCTTGACAGCTCGCTCTCTGGCTTCCTGGTGATGGTGGTGAGCAGTTTCCTCTGGCCATCACTTCTGCCACAGTGACGCGCTGCCTTTAGGTTGAAAGTGCTGGCGCTCACCAGTCATGTGTGAAACAGAAGGGACTCTGTAGGTTGTGTGTTGTACTCTACTTTGTCAGTTTCATGGTTTTTTTTTTCTAGTTTTGAAGCAGATTCATATTTGTTTTTGATGCTCCTAGATGTGTCAGTTTCTTCCTCATGAACCTCTGATTTTTTCCATATCAGATATTAGAGTATAGTAGTTAATGTTAATTTCTTTCATCTGAATCCTGCCTCTGGAACATTAATTCTGAGTTTCTTGACAAGCTAGTTGACCTTCCTTATGCCTTGGCTTCTTCTTTGGAAAATGAAGATAATACTATCTTACCTTATGGGTGTTTTGTTTCCATGTATATCTTGCTGTTTATGCATGTCTGATGCCAGAGGAGGCTAGAAGAGGGTGGTGGATTCCCTAAGACTGAGGTTACAGCCATCTCTGAGCAGTCGGATGGGTCCTGAGAACTGAACTGCGTCTTCTGAAAGAGCAGCCAAGTGTTCCTAACCACTGAGTCCAGACACATTTATAAGAATCTTGAAAAGATTAAATGAAGATGTAAAGAGCTTAAGATGGCCTTGGCTCTTGACAGTATGAAAGTGTTACTGTACATTTGACCGGTCTCTTCATTATGCTTGTGTTTCACAATTCATCCCGATTTATAAACATAAGTTGTGTTGCCTTGAGGAAAGTGCTTTAGGCTCTGTGCATCCCAGATTATGTTGATCCAGTCTGGGAACAGTGGCAGCTGTGTTAGGCCAAAGTGTATCAAACACTCTTTTTTTCTGGTTGGCTTAGCAGTTGTGTTATTCTGAATTCACAGTCAATAACTGATAGGCTTGATTCTGATGGCATGGACTTCTGAGTTGTTCTGTTGACTGCACTGCATGACCAAGCATGGCAGCTAAGGTACACATCTCCTCTGGAGAAGTGTGCTCTGTGTGTTTTGTCTTGACCTGGCATACTTGGCATATGTCAGTGACTGTCTTCCAGCCTATTTAGAACTTTATTACAAAATATAGTTATCTGTATAAGCTCTGAATGATTTGTATGGCCTTCGCCTGTCGGTATTTATCACAGTATCTATTAATGTTTTGAAGGTTAACAGGAGGCTTGAGATCTGACATGAATCCAGGATCCTTGTAGGCACCCTTTTGTGCAAATGGATTTCCCATGGTGTGGATGAACTTTCATTCGCTGCTAAACTTGATACTGGCACAGACACCACAGCACTCACCGTATTAGCTCTGTTTAAACAACATTGTGTATGCCTTAGAATTGTATTTATGATCAGGAGGGTTTATATGTTGTTTTCAGGGTCTTTTACTTCATACAAGAAGCACTGGGAAGTCTCTGAGAAGTGTGGTGGTATCTTATTGCTTTATTACTTTAATTGAAAAATAAAAACTGATTATTGGGAAGAAAACATACCTGAGGATGGTTGAAAAGTTTTGTTAGAGTATGGGCTTTGCTATAGATTGAGACATGATAATGACTTGTACTGGGGTTGTTTAGAATTAGTAACTGTCTAGAACTATTTAGGATGTAAAAGTGGTAGAACTTGGTGGCTACGTGTAGGTTATAGAGCAGAGGGGAGCTTTTTTCCGTCAGGCTGGCGGCGCGAGCGCCGGCGTGCTCCTATCGCTTGGAGCTAACCGCTGCCCGGCGGGCCGCACACGCCGCAGCCAAGCGAAGATGGTGGGCCGGAACAGTGCCATCGCCGCGGGCGTGTGCGGTGCCCTCTTCATCGGGTACTGCATCTACTTCGACCGCAAAAGGCGGAGTGACCCCAACTTCAAGAACAGGCTTCGAGAACGAAGAAAGAAACAGAAGCTTGCTAAGGAAAAGGCTGGGCTTTCCAAGTTACCTGACTTAAAAGATGCGGAAGCTGTGCAGAAATTCTTCATTGAGGAGATACAGCTTGGTGAAGAGTTACTAGCACAAGGAGACTACGAGAAGGGGGTAGACCGCCTGACAAACGCAATTGCTGTGTGTGGACAGCCTCAGCAGCTGCTGCAAGTGTTACAGCAGACGCTCCTGCCACCGGTGTTCCAGATGCTTCTGACCAAGCTTCCAACCATTAGTCAGAGAATTTTAAGTGCTCAGAGCTTGGCAGAAGATGACGTGGAATGAGCCGGCTACCGTGGAATGAGCCCACTATCAACATCATAAATTTCAGTAAATTGTTAAACGGCTTGGAAGCTGATCTGCTATGGGTGAACAAGGGCAAATATGTCTGTTAGGAGCTGCCCTACTCTGACTCTACCAAAGTAAATGTGTACTTTGAGTAGATCCATTGTCTGTTCTATTTATTTTTTCCAGTGAAAAGTATTTTGATAGAGCTTTTCATTTTATAAATACACTGAGTTAAGCAAAATATTATGGATTTCGTTTGTTCTTAAGACAGTCAATTCAAATGTAAATACAGTCGAGTCTTACTTAGGTAGAACTCCTGGTGATGACTTTTACAAGCTGGAAAAGAGTGTAAAGGGTAATCGAGAGGTGCACATTTTTAAGGACCGGTACATTTGACTGTAAGTCACAGAAACTTGTGTTTGTGAAAAGTGAGCATTAAAATCTTACAGAGACAAATATAAATAAATCAGAAGGGAGGAAATGATGACAGCTGAAATTTTTGGATTTTGGCTTGCAAAATCCAAAAATCCTTAATAGTATCTGGAACATGAAATGGCCCAAGGGTCAGTGAGGGAAGATTGTGATATGTTGACTTGGAGACACCCAAGTGAACTTTCAAGTAGGAAGTGTATTAAAATGGCGTGGGGCTGAGAGGAAAGGCTCAGGCCTGAAAGCTCTGGGTCTCCTGCTGCTCTGCAGCGTCTTCATGTTTGTGGCGACATCAGGCTTTGCCTCCTACCTCAGCCTTGTCAGTTAATCTGTGTTCTCATTATGAAAACTATTGATGAAATTTGAAGTTCTGGGGGTATTAACTGGGGTACTTGGATACAGGATATATTTATATCTCCCCTGGCATGTTGCCTGTTGTATTTAGAAAATACTTAAAAAAGCAAACAAACGAAGAGCCTGCTGCTTTGACACCTCTTCAGCTTGTTCTCCCTAGCATATGTCCTTGAGTATTCTCACACCATTTCTGTATTCGTAGCTTCCCTTGGATCCTGTCACCCTAGAGAAAACTCTTGTCTGACCCCCACGTAAGGTTAGGTTTACAAAGACAGCTCACATTATTATCCTTTAGGGATTTTTAAAAATTAATTGTTTACATCTCCTCTCCTCCCAGTCCCACCCTCCCTCCCGCATCCCCTCTCCGCTATTCCTCAGAATAGGGGAGCCCCTCTACCCAGACACGCCAGCTCATGTATTTACATGAGGTCTATTTTGTCTTCTTTCCTGTGGCCTGGTAGGGAAGTCCCATCGGGGGAAGTGATCTTAAAAAGCAGACAACATTGTCTGTGTCATAGATATCCCCCACTCCCCTAACTAATGGCCCAGGAAACCTCAGGTGTTGTACATAGGGCTCATCTTCTTGGGGTCTGTGCACTGTAGTATGTCCATCCTGTACATGACTAAAATCCGCTTCTAGTGAGTACACATCATGTGTGTCTGTCTGGGTCTCTATTATCTCGGGATGACCTTTTCTTGTTCCATCCATTTGCCCACTTTTATTTCCTTGTGTTTAGTAGCTGAGTAGTCCATTGTACCACAGTTTCGTTATCCATTCTTTGGTTGAGGGACACCTAGGTTGTTTCCAGCTTCTGGCTATTACAAATAAAGCTGCAATGAACATGGTTGAGCAAATGTTCTTGTTATATGATGGAGCATCTTTGGGTGTATGTCCGGGAAGGGTGTAGCTGGGTCTTGAGGGATGGCTATTCTCAGTTTTCTGAGAAAGTACCAGATTGATTTACAAAGTGGTTGTACAAACCTTTAAGGTTTTTTAAAGTACGTTTTGGAGATGATTGTAGTTTATCTTAAATATTTTGATTACTTGTAACTTGTCTTCTGTCCTGTTCCACTCCAGATTCTTCTGTGGTTCTGTCATTTCCATTCTGGGTTTTGCAAGTCCCATTGTTGGAGCAGAGTGGCTGAAGCCCCTGGCCCTCTTCATAATTTTATAATTTAGTTCTCAGTACTTCCTGTGGAACTCGGATTCGCTTATTTACACTAAGTATAAACTACTGACCAGAGTACTTTGCTATCGCTCAGCCTCTCCATAAAGACAGATCAAAGGTCAGGTGGATTCAGAGATGCTGGGCCTTTTTCTTGGCAGGCTGTCCTTGGGGAAATTTCAGGTTATTAAATATAGAAGCACTAAATCTGCATTTGCTGCCAATGTCACATTGGTTTCTTTGGTTTCTGCTATTGATTTAGGTGTTGCTGCTTCTGCAGTTCATAATGTGCTCAGTAACTAAATTAGATTCCTTTCTTGTTGCTGTGATAAAAATATCTTGACAAATGTTACTTAAGAAAGGGTTTATTTAACCCACAATTCCAGGCTTTACAGTCCATCATTATGAGGAAGTCAAGGAGGTGGGAACTTGAAGCAGCTGGTCATATTACATTCATAACCAAGAGCAGAAAGCAGTGAATTAATGTCATATAGTATAGTCTTCAGTTTGCTTTCTCTACTCCTCATCCTGCCCAGAGAATGATGCCATCCACGATGAGTAAGTCTCCCACCTCAATTAATATAATCAGTATAATCCTCCATATACATGCCCGCAGGCCAACCTAATCTAGACAGTCTTTTGTTCAGATTCCTCTCCCGGTGATTCTAGGTTGTGTCAAATTGACAATTAAAATTGTCCATCATGGAGTTGGAGAAATGTCTCAGTGATTAAGAACAGTTAATGCTCTTGTAGAGGTCTGCAGTTTGGTCTCTAGCACCCACATGGTTGCTTAAAACTGCCAGTAACTGCAGTTCCAAAGAACCTAACAACCTCTTCTTGTCTCCGTGGGCACATGGCCTCAGTGGCCAAGCAGTGCCCTCAAATACATTTAAAAAAAAAGTAATCTCATTAAAAAAAATTGTCGAAAATAGTTTTGAAAATAAAAGTGATCTTAAATTCAAGGATTCCAATGCCTTGTAGAGGTGGCTTGTCTGTTCCCACATCTCGGTATGTTTCATAGTCAAGGCTGCAAAGCTCTTGTCAGCTAGTCTGGCCTTTCCCACTGTACTAGCATCTGGGTTAAACTGAAATGTGAGCCTCAGAGGTTCTGCCTTCAAAGGATGAGAGTGTTTTTTAGAAATACAGTTCCAGCCTTTGAAGACCATTCTCCCAACTACTTCCTGGTAAACGTATAGTGTTTTAGGCGGCTCCCGCCGTTAACACGGGGCCTCTAGCACCACAGTGGGAGGACTCCTTTCCACAACAGCTGCTGAAGCACCTCCCAGACCAGTACAGTTTGAAAAGGCGTCTTTGATTCTTGGTTTGATAATAGCAAGAATTTCAAATGAATTTAAAGGAAATGGTAAAAATAAGATTAATTGCAATTTAAAGATGCTGATTTTTGAGATACTGAACAGGATCGTACAGAGTAGGCATTATACTGGTATGCTTTTGAGTTTGATAGCTCACACAACTACTGTCTCTAGGCACAGTCTTATGTTTGTCAGTTTCTATTTTTACTCTGTGATCTCCTAAAACTCCTCTCTAATGAAAAATACTGGTGATCAGTGTACATTTTATTGGCAGAGTGCATTTATTTTCCCCCTGGTTGTGGGGGTTTCTGAGATTCTTCTAGGCTACAAGAGGAATGGTGCATCTGCAGTATTTCTTTTAAGAGTTGATAACTATGTAATATTTTACATCTTCTAGTGGTAATAATTACACAAATAAGAACTTAGGAATTAGTGAAACTCTTGGACTCTAGTAAAGGAACTTGAAGTTGTTTGACCATTTCCATTTATATGCATTAGGCATTTAGAATTCAAGGATCTGGCATGATATTAGCACATAAGGAAAATCTGCTTGTTTAAGAAATAGTTGAGAAAACATTTAGATTATATTTAACTCCAAATTAATTGTATCAATAGGTGAGCTCTTTCTGCTCTTAGGAAATGATGGAATGCCTGCATGGTATAGGTCTATAAAGTTGGATTGCCTAACTTCTAGGCACAGGAGGCTGATTGAATTGTGATATGCTAGAACTGAAAATGCACATTAGATTTTGAAGGTGTATTATTAATACTCTTTACATAAAATTAGATTTATTCATGTATTTATTCATTGTATTTTACGTGTGAGTATTTTACCTGCATATTTGTATGTGTCCCACGTGCATGTTTAGTGCCTGTTGAAGTCAGAAGATGGCATCAGATCACTTTGAACTGGAGTTCCAGAAGCTTATGAACCACCGTGGAGGTGCTCACAGTCAAACTTTGGCCCCCTGAAAGAGCAACGAGTTCACCTAACCATTGAGCCAACTCCTCAGCACCTCATAATGCTCTCTCAAAAACAGGATCATTCATAATTGTTAAACCTTGCGGATTTTTTTTTAATTGGTGTCTTACTAGATTATTCTGTCCAGTCTGGCCTTGAGTTCTTGGACTCCTCCTGCCTCTGCTTCCCATGTAGCAGGGACTACAGCTGTGTGTCACCATCCCAGGCTATGCAGTGATTGAATACTTACTCTAAGTTAAAATGATATTTTAGGTCTATTAGGTTAAGTAAACTATCACAGTGAATTCACCTGTTTCTCTTCCTTTTGTGACGTGGCTGCTCTTGGTCCACACTGTTTCTGCTGGACAGCACTGCTCTAAGAATGAGAACAGTGCAGCTGGTAACTAGCTCTGACTTCTAGCACCTTTATTAAACAGGGGTCTGTTACTTCTCGGCAGGTAGGTAACTCATAATGATACAGAGGGTTTATTAGGAAGACATAATACAATTAGAGTGTTTAGGTATGTTTGACTGTACATAGTACACAAGAAGGAGTTTTTAAAAGCAAGGTTTTCGTTGGAAAGGTCCATGGAGCTCATAGTTTATATAGCTGAGGCAACATGCATTTGTCCTCAGAGTTCCTGTCACAACACTCTCCACAACGTTGCTCCTGAAGTGAAGTAAAAGTGGGGGAGCATTTGTGTTTGGGTGTCCTCTCTCTGAGACATTTGCTCCTCTTATGTGCCTTTGCTTTACCATTGCTTTACATTTTTA